TTTTTTTAACTCATTATTTGTATTAACGTTATTACTTATTATTAACATTAATTGCAGTAACAAGTCAATTACCTTTCCGTTCGAAAATCGAAAAAATATTTCGCGAATTGCGCTCTCACCAAATACCAACATTCTGCTTTCTATAGATGAAGGTGTGTTCTATTTTGAATTTAATGTAAATGATAATTAAAATTCATTAATTGTTTTTTTTTCCAGACGGAAGAGTTCTCCTAGTTAACTTTCATCGTAGAATAGTTTTACATGAATTCACTTTCAAATCACCTGTTGCGGATGTACAATTTAGCCCAGATGGAAAGCAAGTATAATTTGGCTTGATTATAGAATATAGAAATTTATAATGAAATTCGTAATCATTAACCATATTTAATTAAATGTGATATATTATATTCAAAGATTTTTTGGTGTCGCCGTAGGAAAAAACATTCAAGTATGGAAATCACCAGGATTAAGTCGGGAATTTGCACCATTTGTCATGCATCACAAATACACAGGACATTATGATGAGGTCACGTCAATAACATGGTCTACCGATTCTCGGTAATATTCTTGATATTATAACTTGGAATTTGTATGAATTTATCAATATGCTAATTAATGGTTATCAAATTTTTATAAGATTTTTTCTTTCTACTTCAAAAGACATGACCGCAAAACTTCATTCTTTATTTCCTACTGAAGATTTCACAACTGTAACGTTTTCAGGTCATAAGAACTATGTTGTCGGTGCATATTTTTCGAAAGATCAAAATATGGTAGGTAAAATAAATATTAATTTAATTTATATAATTTATATAATTTATATAATTATATAATTTATATAATTCATGTAATTTATATATTGACAATTTTTTGCTTATTAAATTTCTATACGTAGATATACACCGTTAGTAAAGATGGTGCGCTTTTTATTTGGAAATTCGCTTCTTCTCAAACTCCAACAGAAGACGATGATCAACATGAAGAAATGGATATTGATAATGCAGAATCGGAATTAACGAAATCGAAAAAATGGATTATATCGTCTCGTCATTATTTCAATCAATCTGGGGCTAAAGTGATTTGTTCTGCTTATCATATAGCATCAAACTTATTAGTAGTCGGGTTTTCATCTGGAATTTTTGGAATTTGGGAAATGCCCGACTTTAATAATATACATACATTAAGGTAAAATATTCGATATTCAGTAATCCATTCTTATTTATTGTCATTAGCATGTATATATTAATATTTTATTATTGGAACTTTTAAGTATTTCGCAAAAAGCAATAGATTCAGTAACAATCAATTCAACTGGTGAATGGCTGGCATTTGGGTCTTCAAAGCTGGGTCAACTTTTGGTTTGGGAATGGCAATCCGAATCTTACGTTCTTAAACAACAAGGGCATTATTATGATATGAATACGTTATCATATTCTTCAGATGGTCAAAATATTGCAACCGGAGGTGATGATGGTAAAGTCAAAGTGTGGAATACCATGTCAGGATTTTGTTTCGTTACATTTTCTGAGCATACTTCCGGTGTTAGTGTGGTAGAATTTGCAAAAAATGGTCATGTTTTATTTTCTGCTTCTTTGGATGGAACTGTTCGCGCATTTGATTTAATTCGTTATAGAAATTTCAGAACTTTTACATCTCCATCACCAGTTCAATTTACCTCGTTAGCTGTTGATCCAAGCGGTGAAATTGTTTGTGCTGGTTCAATGGATACTTTCGAAGTTTTTGTATGGTCTGTTCAAACTGGTAAATTATTAGATATTATGGCTGGCCATGAAGGTCCTATAAGTGGTTTGGCTTTTAATCCTACAGGTTTATTGTTGGCTTCAAGTTCATGGGATGCTACGGTTCGTGTTTGGGATGTATTTGAACGTAGTAAACATGTCGATGTACTTCGACATACATCGGATGTTTTAGCTGTAGCGTTTCGACCCGATGGGAAACAATTAGCCGCATCTACCTTGGATGGTCAAATTACCTTTTGGAACGTTGAAAATTGTGATCAAATAGGCTCTATAGAAGGAAGAAAAGATATATCAGGTGGAAGAAAAGCTAATGACCGAACAACTGCTGCTAACTCTTCTGCAAAATCTTTTAATAGTATATGTTACACGGCTGATGGGTCATGTGTGATTTCTGGTGGAAATAGTAAATACATTTGTCTTTATGATGTTAAAGAGAAATTATTAATAAAAAAATATCAGATATCACATAATTTGTCATTGGATGGAATACGTGAATTTTTGAACAGAAAGGTAATTGACTTGTTACTGCAATTAATGTTAATAATAAGTAATAACGTTAATACAAATAATGAGTTAAAAAAA